TGAAAGCTGCCCTTTGCTCTCTGCTCTGTACTTTGCCAAGCTACGGAACCATGGCCATGAGAGAGGGGAACCAACTTGGCTTGATGATCGTGGACCTCTGAGCTGCCATGCAACACTGGACTTTGAGCAGCATTTCTTTCACAGAGTGATAGAACAAAATTGTGTTTATTATGCCCGGCACAGCTCTTCTTTTGATTGAAAAGCAGAATAAACACGTTCATTGCTTAGACAGTCCCAGAACCATTCAGAAAGAGTACCTGTCAGATCAACTAGGAAGAGCTCTAGATATTCATTTGTTTGGGCAGGAGGAAATGTTCATTGCTTGTTGTGGACAGAGTTGCGACGTATTTGCTTGAAACAGAAGATTTGTTCTGAAATTTCCATATACTTCCCAGGAAGTTGATATCTTGTTTATGGTTGGGTGGCTGCAGGCAGGGAATGAACCTAGGATGGAGTGTTTAAGCAACTTGCAAGTTGCCCAGTGGTGGGATTCAGCCAGTTTGGACTGGTTCAGGTGAACCAGATGTTAATTTTAATCTGGTTCGCCAAATCAGTAGTTAAAAGGGCCATCTGATCCCGCCCACTCCACCTCTCCCAAGAGTCTCCCTGTGGCCCGTTCATCATGCCAGGTAAGTGCAGAGCCCATGCGGAGCCTGGGGAGGGCGAAAAATGAGCTTGTCAGAAATATGGGAAGTCCAGAAGCGGGTCAGTTTCTGGTCTCTGGAGCCCGGGAAAGGCTGTTTCCACCCTCCTGGAGACTCAAGGAGAGCCTCTGGAGTCTGGGGAGGATAAAAATACCCCCCCTGCCACCAGGGTGCAGGAAGCCGACTAGGCCATGCCCCATGGTCACGCCCACCCAAGTTGCCTCAAGTGATAAGTCACCAATATGAAGTGGCTTACAAGGAGCCTTGATGCTTTTCTTCTGTGTCACTGTGCACCCCTCCTCAGGGCCTGTGAGCTGTCGCTCTGGTTAAAAGGGGAAAACAAACCGAATTCATGCCAGTTTCACTCAAGCTCCCATATAACCAACATGGTGGCAGTGTTGAAGGAAGTGGTTCTCAGCACCTGAGAGTTGATATTGTCAATCCTACTAAGTAGAACAAACCAGGAAGCCAGCTCCACAATGAGGCTAAAATAGGCTTATTGAGATTAGCTATAATATCTGAATCTTGCAAGTCTGATTGTGCTGTGCCTTCTTGTTCTTATAATTCACTGAATTAGAGAGGTAGCTGTGTGTGCTGCTTCTGAATGTTATCTATATTCTAGGCTTTAAAACTGCTCTAGCCCAGGTGTGTTGTCAAACTGGATTTCTTCAAGGGCTGTTTCAGCATTGTAGTTCTCCTCTGTGGACCAGCTGGGGAAGGGGATGGCACAGATGCCTCCTGCAGCTCCCTGCTGGTCAAAATGGGCTATGGGGGGCCCTCATGCAGCCCTCCCATGCCCCATTTTGGCCAGCAAACTGCTGCAGGAGGCAGTCCAGACCGAAAACGGGGCATGGGGGGCTGTGCATCCCATGTGCCCCATTTTGGCTGACAGAGGCACCACCGACTGGCCCTTTGCTATTTCCAGGCTGCCACCACATGACAGATTTAAGCACCCTGAGGGCCAGATTCGGCCCATGGGCTCTGAGTTTGACACCCCTGCTCTAGCCTGTTTTGCCGAGGAAACAGCTTCAAGGTCATTTTCCTCATTTTGACATTTATAAAGTAGACAAGGTGGTGCAAGAGTAGACAAAAAGATGCCCCTCACTCAAGTATGGTTGCTTGAAACCTTGTGTTGGCTGAAGCAGCAGAAAACTCATCTGGGCCAAAAATCGCAAAATACAACTGGCAGAACATGGTTCTCATTCATGTTTTAAACCAACCTTTTCCATAATTAGGTTCATTTTAGTCCTGTTTTTCCCCCCCATAAAAACATAGAAGCTAGGAATAGGAAAGAATGTTAAGGGTCATGTAGTCCAACCTCTTGTCCAATGCAGGAACTCACTACTACCACAGCTAGAACAGCCATCTGTCCGTCCGTCCATCCATCCATCCAGTCATTGTTGAACACTTCTTACTATCAGGGGAATTCTTCCTGATACCCTACTGAAACTAACTTTCTGGTAACTTAAACACACCTATCTTGCTGCTGGAACAATTCTTAACAACTGTGGCCCATTTTCTACATAATAACTGTTCAGACAACGTGTCAGCATTCCAAATAGCATCCAAAAGTAAATCAGAGTCCAAGGCAAGGTATTGCTCAAAGTTCCAATTTATTAAGAGAG